TTGGGTTTTGTGAACAAAATTTGTTTATTTGGAGCAAGGTTTTGTGTTGAAGCTTTGTAGGTGAAGCTTTGGTGTTGAAGCTTTCTAGGTGAAGCTTTGATGGTGAAGCTTTGTAGATGAAGCTTTAGGTGAAGCTTTGATGGTGAAACTTTGTAGATGAAGCTTTCTAGGTGAAGCTTTGATGGTGAAGCTTTGATGGTGAAAGTATGTAGAGGGAGCTTTCTAGGTGAAGATTTTTTAGGTGAAGCTTTGTAGGTGAAGCTTTTTTAAGTGAAGCTTTTCGGTGAAGTTTTTTTTTTTGGGTGAAGCTTTGTGGGTGAAGCTTTTTAGGTGAAGCTTTGTGGTGAAGCTTTGGGGTGAAGCTTTTCGGGTGAAGCTTTTGGGTGAAGCTTTTTAGGTGAAGCTTTGTGGGTGAAGCTTTTTAGGTGAAGCTTTGTGGGTGAAGCTTTGGAGGTGAAGCTTTTCGGGTGAAGCTTTTTGGGTGAAGCTTTTTAGGTGAAGCTTTGTGGGTGAAGCTTTGGAGGTGAAGCTTTTCGGGTGAAGCTTTTTGGATGAAGCTGTTTTTTTTTTTTTTTTTTTTTTTTTTTTTTTTTTTTTGGCGCTTGACACGGTCTTCATTTGCTTGTTTTGTAGTGACTGTGGAAGACGGATTGCTTTCTGATTGAGAAGGGTTCTGGCATCGCTTGCTATGAATGTAAAAGAGTGAGGGCTGAGTTGGCTAAATTACCTCTTTATTGAATTCATTGCCAAATGGCCTTCATTACATAGGATGCCGAACGGCTATAGCTCAACACTTGTACATCGTGAGTCTATTTGTAGTAGTACTTCAAGTGATCAGCGTTCCATGGATGGCCAAGGGTCTTGCCATCAGGAGCTTCTAAGTGTGTAAGAGCCAGGGCGACTGATGCCAATGACTTCATACGGTCCATCCCAGTTTGGACTAAGTGTGCCTTCACTCGGGACTCTGTCGCAGAGTAATCTTTTCTTTAAGACCCAGTCTCCTATTTTGAAAGAACGAGGCTTGACCCTAGAGTCATAATAGTTGGAGATGCGCTGCTTGTAGGCGACATTCCTCAAGTGAGCTTGGTTTCTGTGTTCCTCGACTAAATCCAAGTTGAGGGTGAGTTGTTTGTCATTTTCACTTTGAATGTAGTTCTGGACTCGGAATGTTGCTTGCTCGAGCTCAACAGGGACAACCGCCTCTGTGCCAAAGGCAAGTGAGAATGGAGTTTCTCCTGTTGAAGTCCGATATGAAGTGCGATATGACCAAAGAACTTGGGGTACAAATTCTGGCCAACAGCCTTTAGCTTTGTCCAAGCTGGTTTTCAAAGTGCGCTTGATTATTTTGTTGATGGCCTCAACTTGTCCATTAGACTGGGGATGAGCTGGAGAGGCAAAGCATAAGTTGATGTTGAACTTAGAGCAGAACAACCTGAACTTCTTGTTGTCAAACTGTCGCCCCATTGTCAGTGACTATCGCATTGGGAATGCCGAATCTACAAAGGATGTTCTTCCACACGAAGTCTTCTATCTTTGCCTCAGTAATGGTTGCCAAGGGTTCTACTTCGGCCCACTTTGTGAAGTAGTCCACTGCAACGACTGCGTAACAGACTTTGCCCTTCCCTGCCGGCATTGGGCCGATCAAATCAAGTCCCCACTGGGCGAAGGGCCAAGGGCTGATCATAGGAGTAAGAGGCTCTGGAGGGGAATGAGGAATAGTTGCATATCGTTGACATTTGTCACATGAGCGGGATACTTTGATGGCATCCTGGTGGAGTGTTGGCCAGTAATATCCTTGGCGAAAAGTCTTGTGTGCTAGGGACCGAGATCCAGCATGATCTCCACAGACTCCCTCATGTATTTCCCGAAGGACGATTTCCGCCTCGGCAGGCGTAAGACACCTTAAGTATGGCAGGCTAAAACCTCGCTATTGTGGCGATACCCTTGACGCGGGTTTGACCCACTGCATTGACTGCCTGGGGGCAAGCGCTATTGTGGCGATACCCTTGGTTATCGGGATAGTGTCCCTTACTCTTTTTACTGAAAGGAGAGTGGTGAGGATGGAAATCCTTCCTCTTGCCTTGAAATTGATATGTCTGTTGATTCGGTGAAGCATTATGCAAGGCATGGGGAGGTGCCACTGCTGTTTGGAAAGTCGAGGTCTTCTCATTTAGGTGAGTCTGGCTTCCACCTCCCACTTGTTGATAAAGGATGGTTGTAGGGGTTTTCTCCTGATATGTCTTTGCCTCGGCGGAGGCATGGTTATAAGCCTGCGCCATCACCTCAGAGTAAGTCTTCCAAGTATTGGCATTGATCATGTATTTAAAGAAACAATCACGTAGGCCTGCCGTGAAGGCTTTGAGGGCAGTCTTGTCGTCTGCCTCGGCACACCGGGAGTATTCATGGCTGAAGCGGCCAACATACATACGTAATGACTCGTCTGGCTTCTGGCGGATAGTGTACAAGTCATCTGCAGAGTGCAAGCGATCGGTTTGGAAAATGTGTTGGGAAACAAATAGTTTCCTCAATTCCTCAAATGAGTCTACCGTCTCAGGTGTAAGACGACAATACCAATTTAGAGCTCCACTAGAGAGGGTGGAGGGGAAGAGAAGACATCGCTCTTCGTCGGTGTGCATCCGGTATGCCATGGTGGATTCAAAGAGGTTAAGGTGCTCAATCGGGTCCTCTTTTCCAGTATAAAGTTGCAAGCCAAGCTTTTGCTTTGTCTTTGCTTGAAGGGGGGGTGTTGAGGATCCTCCTTGTAAGAGGGCCAGGCCTGGGTTGGTTCCAGTCAGGTATTTCAGCCTGACGTTCAGCCTTCAACTTGTTTACTTCCTCAAGAAGTTGTAGGACAAGGGGGTCCTTAGCGGAGTTATGTGTCACTGGAGCTTTCTTTCGTAAATCTCCATCTCCTCTTGGAATTAGGAAGGTTTGATCAAGGGCATGTGATTTTTCCCTGGACTCGCTGTACTGGCTTCCAGGGTATGTCTGTCGGAACACCTCTGAGTCCCCTGTACCCTCATGTCTCTTCTGGGACTTGTTGCCCCTTCCCCAAATTGGTGGCCGGCTTGGGCCGTGGCAGGGGACCGAGTCTCTCAGAAATCCTTGGGTCATTAATCTTTGAGCTTATATGGATGGAATTCTCTCGACGTTGCTTCAGGAAATCCCGACAATCGCGAAAGACGGCTTTCGATCCTTCTGCCCCTTCAGCAAAGAGGTGTCTCCCTCCACTTCTCATGGTTCGGGTCGAAGCAACTGGGTTAAGAGAAGCCTCATGTTGATTATCAAGTCGAGGGGTAATCTGTTCCCTATCAGGGATATCTATGTCGAATGCATGTGACCCTCCATGTTGGAGGGCACCCAGTTGATGGTTGACTTCTACGGGGGGCAACAAGCTCGCGTGTCTGAGCTTGCCTAGCTTCGTGGAGTGTCTCGAAGAGCTTCTCATATTGCTCCTGGAGGACCTCATTCCTCATTGCTATCTTGTTGTTCTGAGCTTCCAACTCATCGACTTTAGCTTGAAGAAGAACTCGTTTTCCTTCCTTCTTTCGTTGTTTCGCACTATGTGCAAGGGGGGTGTCATTCTGTGTGCTGTGGCTTCCTTCGCTTCCCATGCTGGAGAGGGATGCCTGATCAAAAGAAAGTGTACGAATGATAGAAACCAGCTTGACACAGCTGAAGAGAGTAGGAATAAGTGTCGTTTCCCACAGACGGCGCCAAATGTTGATGCACAAAATCAGCGAAGACTTTGGTACAACAGAAAGTGTCAGGTTTTGTGACCTTCGCTTGGTTGCTTCGGTCACTAGTGAGGATAAGTACGTAAATGAATAGAGACAGAGAAGCAAACACAGGATGTACGTGGTTCACCAAGATTGGCTACGTCCACGGAGTAGAGGAGTTCTTATTAGTAGTGAAGGGCTTACACAAGTACAAAGGATCAAGCTCTCAATTTAGTGAGTTCTTGTGAATAGTTTAGTACAAAATGACATTAGGCAATATTGTGAGGGAATGACCCCTATTTATAGAAAAACTTGTAGCTTTGTCACATTGACATGTGTCATGTTATGATTGGTTCTTGATGTCGACACGTGCTGCGCTCTGATTGGCTTCTAATCTTGACACGTGTCGAGTAGTGATTGGCCTCCTGGTCGGAGGGGAACTCTTCTGGGTCCTTGACAGTATAGCGTTGGCCGGTGCTCGGTAGTTTCGGGATTGGTCAAGTATGGTACAAACAACACGAAAACGACACGAACACGGAAAACACGACACGAATGCGAGGTCTAAGTACAACAAGAGTAGTCTTACCAAGCCAAAGACAAGGCTTGATGGATACAAGAAAGTATGACACATACTTTCTATCACTTTAAACTTCACTCACAATGAGTAGGGGAACACTTTCACTCTCACTCTAGGAGTGGAACTCTAGCTATGGACTTGATCCTTTGCTACTCACTCTTGGTTCTTAATTGGTTACTTCACTACAACATCACACCCATATTTATAGGTGAGGATTTGACATTCTATTAGTTTCTAGTGAATTCTTCAAACCTCTAGCATAGATGATTCTAAACTAGCCACAAAATTGTAGCTTCTAGATCTTTTCATTTGCAACCAAGGAAGCTAGTACTCTCTAGCTTCTTCCATCAACTTAATAACATATTAGAATTATATAGCATGCTCCAGCCACCTCACTTACTTACTAGAATAATTTAAAATATTCATCATGAGCTGGTCCATATACCAACACATCCAATGTGTAGGAGAGCTTTAGTTATCCAACCGATACAATTCTACCCTCACAAACTCTAAATCTGGGCTTCATACCCTATGCGCGCTACACGGCAACAAATTACTCGAGTGGTAGATTCCTGTTTTCACTACTACCTGATGGGAATCTTGTACTTTATACTACAAATTTCCCACAAAACTCCAACAATAAAGCATATTGGGCAGTGCAAAATCCAAATATTGGGTTTCGGGTCACCTTCAACCAGTCTGGCCTTATTTACGTCACAATAAAGAACGGAAGCTTACTCAGTACCATATCATCCAATACGGTTTCAATGCAAGATTTCTACCAGAGAGCAACACTAGAGTATGATGGAGTATTTGGGCACTATGTTTACCCGAAAAGCGCTATAGCTCGAGCGCCCAAAGATGGCCGAAGGCTTGGTCCACTTCCTCATTCGAACCTCCAAACATCTGCGTGTCAGTTTTGGATTCTATGGGCGGTGGTGCATGTGGCCTAAACAGCCTGTGCACGCTTCAAGATCAAGGACCGACTTGCCACTGCCCAAATGGTTACTCCTTTATTGATCCAAAGGATGAGCGCAGAGGATGCAAGCAAAACTTTGCCTCACAGAGTTGTGGTGAAGCGTCAAAGGAGGAAACAGATCTTTTCGATTTCCAAGAGCTGCAAAACACAGATTATCCAGGTGGAAATTACGCGCAGTTTCTGGGGGTAACTGAGGATTGGTGCAAACAGAATTGCCTGGATGATTGTTTTTGTGCCGGGGTATTTTTCAGAACCGGAAAGTGTGTTAAGAAGAGAGTCCCTTTGTCAAATGGGAGGACTGATCCCTGTTTTACTGGAAAAACTCTGATAAAATTTGGGAAACAAAATTCGACTGTGAAATCAGGTGGAGGTTCCAACACAGAAAAGAAAGACAATAAAACTTCGATCCTTTTCGGACCAGTCATCCTGAGTGGCTCTGCGGTTCTAAACTTCCTCCTACCATTGATAACCTATTTGGTTGTTTCGCGAGCCTATTCGAGAAAAGTGAAGGTGATTCAACCTTATCCAGTCATCTCTGGTATGAATTTGAAGCATTTCACTTATGAGGAGCTAAACAATGCTACAAACCAATTCGAGGAAGAACTAGGACGTGGTGCTTCAGCAATAGTCTTCAAAGGAGTTCTAGCCTCTGATAATGGGAAGAGCGTTGCTGTCAAAAGCTTAGACGCTAGGGTCAGGGAAAATGATTTGGAATTTAAAGCGGAAGTGAGTGCTATTGGCCGAACAAACCACAGAAATTTAGTCCAGCTAATTGGATTTTGTTACGAGGGAGAGCACCGAATTCTGGTGTACGAGTTTATGAGCAACGGATCTTTAGCGAGCTTCCTCTTTGGAGAGTCGATGCCAAACTGGTATCAAAGGAGGAAAATCGCCTTGGAAATTGCAAGAGGGCTGTTTTATTTGCACGAGGAGTGTAGCAGCCAAATCGTGCATTGTGACATCAAGCCTCAAAACATTCTTCTTGATGACTCTTTCACTGCAACAATTTCTGACTTCGGTTTAGCAAAGCTTTTGAGAATCGACCAGACTCTAACCATGACGGGAATCAGGGGAACAAAAGGTTATGTGGCCCCTGAATGGTGGAAAAGGTTGCCTATCACAGCCAAGGTTGATATTTATAGCTACGGAATTTTGTTGTTAGAGATTATTTTCTGTAAGAAGCATTTCGAGGCAGCAGCAGAGGATGAAGATCCAATGATACTAGCTGATTGGGCGTACGATTGCTATAAGCAGAATGAGCTGCACCAGCTATTGAAGAATGATGATGAGGCAATGCACGACATGAAGGAGATGGAGAAGTATGTGATGATTGCAATATGGTGCATTCAGGAGGATCCGTTGCTCAGACCTACCATGAAGAAAGTCACATTGATGCTCGAAGGAACTGTCGAAGTCTCAGCTCCTCCCGATCCATCTTCTTTCATAAGTTCAATACTTTAAGTGCTTCCAATTATCCATTTCTTATGTTTATCAAAAGTTTTAGTTTTTATTTGTCCAACATGTGCATTCAAGATTACAATTTATTTCTGTTAAAACCTTTTTTCAGTGGATTAGTACTGCTACAAAGGTCTTTTCAGCCGACAAACACCGAACAATTTTTCTTTTCCAATGTTTTCTTCTTGTTCCGGCGAGAGGCCTGCCGAACGCTTTAAATTGTTTAGTTTTGATCAACCGATCTCTTCTTCAAAACCTCAGTTTTTAATCACCGAACAAGTCGTGAACCCGAATGGAATTCTCAGTTGGTCTCATTTTTCTTTGTACAGGTCTAATGTGTTATTGATTCATTCAATCGTGAGTTTATTTATCATGGCATCTGATTGATGCAATCTTTAACTGTGCATTACTTGGAAACATTCTCACACTAAATTCTACAAAAAAGAGTAGATTGGACGAGAGGAAAGACTTGAATTTAAAACTAGAGTCAGAGCAGCATTGATGTTTAATCTCTTTGAAGTATTCAAAGAAGGCAGTTTCCAAGTAATTGGGCTGCTTGCATATTAAGATTTAAAAAGACTTTGCATCCCTTACCCCGAATGACAAATACCTCCAACTGCAAATCTACCATGATTCAACGTTTACTTAGTCGTTTGTGAAGACGACGGACTCAACACAGTTGACTTGAAAATTAAATAGTAGTGCATGATGTAAACCTGACAGAGGACGAAATTTGTGTTACTTTAGATGCGAGAAAGTTAAAAGAAGGAAGCAATTTGTGTTATTTTAGATGCAAGAAAGTTAAAAAAATGAAGCGTCATTTAATTAAAAAAAGTGATTGGAGAATTTGTGATTCACCTGTTAAAAGATAATTTGTTGTTGCCATATTCGAAAAGCAGATGTTTTTGGACTTTTCACGTTGTTTGGATTATTTTTTGGTGCGTCAAAACCTCCATGGAATGGAAGAGTTTCTGTGCGCTTTTCATATCTCTGAAACTTTACACTTATCAGAAGAGCAGAGCAATTGAGTTGCAACTTGCTATTCTACACTCCCAGATGCAGCGTTCGGATCATCTCTCTCCTCAATCCTTGCACTGGTATTCTCTCTCTCTCTCTCTCTCTCTCTCTGTATTTCCTATAGTTTAAGGCAGGCAGGTTGTCTTGTCTTTTCCGAGAAAGTTTTGTTTGGCTGCTGAGGAACCTCAGGAAAATAATAGAAAAGAAGAGAAATTGATCTAGTGGTGGGGTTTATTAAATAGGCAATATTATTTTTTTAATTACTGCAGAGTTCAATGAGTTCTTTGATTAAGGTCAGCCATTTGCAGTTCCATTGAAACCAAGTACTTGGGAAATTAAATCCCATTTGCAATTGTCTCTTGTCTACTTAATTTTGTGTTCGTTGTCTTGGCATATTTAGTGAAATACTGAAATTTAGAAGTGTTTGGTCATTTGAAGTGAAAATGTACAAAATAAAAGTTACCAGCTTTTGTTGATCTCTCATTGTTTTAGGCATTTGTGCGCCCCGGATTGGAAAATCATGTCGACTTACTATCAGCACCTCAAGGTCTGCACCACAAATCCTCTAGGCATCAAATTGTCAGAGAGGTAAATTTCCCTTCATGTTCCGTTGGAGTTTTGTTTTTTTTCCTCATTTATTCTTGGTTACTCTCGTTTCTACATTGAATGATGTTTCAATTCTTAAACACTGAGTAATATTCGTCACTGTATGACGTAGAACAGTTGGAACTTGAAAAGTGGGAAGTCGTAGGTATGTTTGACAGATTTCTTAGATAATACCTTCCTGTATTATATTATGCATTGTATGATTATTGTTTTCTTGACGACAATCAGGTGAGATATTAAAGTTAAATCCAAGCTGCAAGACCCCACTTGATTATAAACCCTTGTTTGAAGAGGCTACAGTTCCCATTCCTGTAAGTTTATCTTCTGCTTATGCAATTCTGTGCAATTCTTTTCTAATTAACTGTTTCTTTATGATGTATCCAAACTGCTGAGATAATATACGTTATTTTATCATGGCGTGAAAAAATGTTCTGTCAATCTTAGTTGTATTGATTTAAAATAAAACTTACCCAAGAAGAACATGTATGTGGAATTTTAATCTGGACTCACATGTGGTAGTCTTATCATTCATGTTCTTGTAAGGCAAGGCTTCTACAATGAGAAGTTTGGAAGTACGGCTATTGTTGCCAATGTTTTACCCTCCATTCAACTGCCTTTTTAGGAACTTCTAGTATGAGTTGACATGTCATTATTTCACACAGAGATGGAATGTGGAAACAACTATTTCATCACTAAAGAGTAAGGATTGCTAGGTTTGTTGATCCTTACTTTTATGAGGTTTCCTTTGGCCGGCCTCCAGGCGGAGGGTGGGGACTTTAAGACATGAGTATATAGTATCCAATTTCATGGTTTTCTGAGTCGGCAAGTGTTTGAATTCTAATGCTTATATGTTTTTAAATGCTTTTCAGGTGAAACAATTAGAAAAGGAAAGGACTGGTGCAGACAGAATTGCTTGGATGATTGTTTTTGTGTTGTGGCAAATTTTGACATCGGAGGTTGTTAGTGAAAAAATTCTGATAAAAATTTGGGAATGAAAATTCTACTCGAAGATCCGGTGGAGATGCGACACAAAAAATAAAGACAACTCAACAGTGATCCTTGTTGGATCACTACTCCTGAGTAGCTCAGGGGTTCTGAACTTCCTCCTACCATCGAGAAATTATTTGGTTGTTTCTCGAATCTATTCTAGAAAAGTTAAGGTCATTCAGCCTTAACCAGTCATGTCAGATATGAACTTGAAGTGTTCCGTTTGTGAGGAGCTAAATGATGCTACAAATAGAGTTGAGGAAGAACTAGGCCGCGGTGCTTCTGTAACAGTTTTCAAAGGGGTCTTAGCATCTGATGGTGGAACTGGAAAGTGTGTTGCTGTCAAATTCTTGTATATGAGTTTATGAGCAATGGCTCTCTAGCAAGCTTCCTTGCTTCGAAGATTCAATGACAAACTGGCACCAAAGAAGGCAAATTGCATTGGGAATAGCAAAAGGTCTTTCGTATTTGCATGAGGAGTGTAGCAGCAAATTGTACATTGTGGCATCAAGCCTCAAAACATTCTTCTTGATGACTATTGCCAAGAATTTCTGCATTCTGATTAGCCAAGATTTTGAGAATAGACCAGACTCAAACTACGACTGGAATCAGGGGAACGAAAGGGTATGTGGCCCCTGGATGGTTCAAAAGCTTGCCTATCAAGGCCAAGGTTGATGTTTACAGTTACGGTATTTTGTTAGGAATTATTTTTGCAGGAAGCATTTTAACGCAATGGCAGAGGATAAAGATCAAATGATATTAGCTTATTGGGCATACGATTGCTATAAGCCTAAGAAACTGCAGCTGCTATTCAAGAACAGTGGGGAAATGCTTGACGTGATGAAAATTGAGAAGTATGTTATGATTGCAATACGGTGCATTCAGGAGAACCCGTCGCTCAGACCCACGATGAAGAAAATCACATTCATGCTTGAAGGAACTGTTGTCTCAACTCCACCCGATCCATCTTCTTTCATAAGTTCAATATTTTAGGTGCTTCAGATTATAATCAATTTCTTTGAGCTATAAAATATTTGTGTATTTTTTTGTACGCAAGTACTTTCTCACTTACTCCAGAACCTCTCAAGCCTAGTAAAGTATGCCGGAAACCTACCATTCTGTTTCACATTCGAGATGAAGCTGATTTAAGCGCTTAAATATGCAAGAAGAAAAGCTGATAACATATAAAACTCTTTGCATTAATTTAGCTGGCAAACAGAAAAGAAATTACAGAGAAATTCTTTTCTTTTGAATGCACATATTGAACAAAGAAGAATATATCCCTCTTTTTATTGAGACAACTCAAATGAGATTTATAATTGCGACACATTAATTACTGCATATTAAGTTAAAAGACTATCTGACCAACGGCAAGCTGATGGCTTAGACTGGAGTGCTTGATCATCACACATACAAAAGCATGGAACTATAACTGAAAGTACTCAAAGTGCCGAAGTTGTGAAAGAGGATGGATCAGGAGTAACTGAGACTTCAACATTACCTTCGAGCATCAGTGTGACATTCTTCATCGTAGGTCTCAGCAATGGATCCTCCTCGATGCACCATATTGCAATCATCACGTACTTCTCCATCTCCTTGATGTCTTCCTTCGCCTCACCATCATTCAGAAATAGAAGGTGCAGTTTTCTATTCTTATAGCAATCGTAAGCCCAATCAGCCAGTATCATTTGATTTTCATCCTCAGCGTCTTTTTCAAATTTCTTCCGGCAGCAAATAATCTCCAACAACAAAATGCCAAAGCTGTAAACATCCACCTTCACTGTGATAGGCAAGTTTTTGAACCATTCCGGGGCCACATACCCTTTCGTTCCCCTGATTCCAGTTGTGGTTCGAGTCTGGTCCATTCTCAAAAGCTTGGCTAATCCAAAGTCAGCAATTCTTGCGGTGAAAGAGTTGTCGAGAAGAATGTTTTGAGGCTTGATGTCACAATGTACAATCTGGCTGCTGCACTCCTCATGCATATACAAGAGCCCTCTTGCGATTCCCAAGACAATATGCCTTCTCTGGCACCACTTTGGCCTCGACTCTCCAAAAACAAAGCTCGCTAAAGATCCATTGCTCATGAACTCATACACAAGCATTCGGTGCTCACCCTCGTTACAAAACCCAAGTAGTTGGACTAGATTTCTGTGACTTGTTCTGCCAATTGCACTCACTTCAGCATTGAATTCCAAATCATTTCCTCTAACCTTCGAGTCTAAACTTTTGACAGCAACACACTTTCCAATCCCATTATCGGACGCTAAAACTCCTTTAAAAACAGTTGCAGATGCACCGCGTCCTAGTTCTTCCTTGAATTTGTCTGTAGCATCTTTTATCTCGTCATAAGTGAAACACTTCAAATTCATGCCTGCCATAACCCTATAGGGTGGAATCACCTTAGCTTTTCGAGAATAAATGCGAGAAACAACCATATAGGTTATTAAGGGCAAGATGAAATTGAGAACCCCCAAGCTACTCAAGAGCACTGATCCAACTACAATCAAAGTTGAATCATATTCTTTCTTCTTTTTGTTCTTTGCAGCGCCAGCTGATCTGGAAGTAGATTTATCTTTCCTTATTTTGATTAATACTTTCCCGCTATAATTTGCGTCGATCCTCCCATTGAGAAGAGGACCTCCTTTCAACCAACAGTTACCAGTTCTAAAACCGGCAACTGCACAGAAGCAATCAGCTAGGCAAGTCTGCCTGCACCAATCCTCAGTTATGTCTTGAAACTTGTCATATTCATTTACACGCCAATACGCATTTTGCATCTCTTGCATATAGAAAAGATCACTTTCCGATGAGGCCTCATCACAGCTTTGTGGAACAAAGTTAGGTTTGCAGCCTTTCAACATATCATCTGGATCCATGTAGGTATAACCAGGTGGGCACTGGCAAACCGGTCGGCCTTGGTCATGTTTACATAAGCTGTTAAAGCCACACGTGCCCCCGCCTTTTGGTTGCAAGATACTCATGCAGATGTTCGAAGGTATGAAGGACAATGTAGACCATGTTCCGCCACTCGAGCCATTGTTTTTACGAAAAACATAGTGCCTCAAAACTCCATCATAGTCAAGAGTTGCTCTCTGGTACAAATCTTGGTTCGAAAACATAGAGGATAATACCACATTAAGTATCGCTCCATTCCTATCAGTAAGGTAAACAGAACCAGACCGGTTGAAGACTACCTGAAAGCCTCTTCCCAGAGTATCGGTGTAATTCCAATAACCGAAATAAGGATAATCTTGTGGGAAATTTGTTGTGTAAAGCACAAGATTTCCAATTTTTTGTACTGCAAACATGAATCTACCTCTCGAATAATTTGTTGACGTGTAGTGAGCATAGAGTCTGCTGCCTTGATTTAGAGTTTGTGAGGGTAAAATTGTATCGGTTGGATGACTAAAACTCTCCCACAAACTGCTTGAATTTGAGGTGGCCAGCACAAAGTTTCCGGTGTCTAGCATGGCTGCATGTGCAACTCCAGTACCAGCAGCAGAAGCAATCCATGTGCTTTTGCCCGTTGCAATGTCACTAAGGCTAAACTGGCCTTCTGCAGTGAGCTCAACTTTCGATCCTTGTGGCACAAGATTTTTCCCATTGGCTGACCACACAATGGTTTTCTCCGGTATCTTATCGAACCAGATGGCTAGTAGGAAACCGTTGTTTCCAATATGTCGAAAACCGAAAGCGAAATCACCAGATGGTGACCGCCAAGATGAGTTATCATTTTGTGCGGTGAGTGATGAGCCTAAAGATATGTTTCTATGAGTTTGAGCAGTGGTGGAAAATGGTAGAAACATGAAAAGGAAGAAGAAGAGAAGATATCGAACATCAAAAGCCATGGAAATTAAGGTGAGATAGTAATTTGCTCCGATCAAACCTTACTAAAATCTTCAATAAATAGACTCAATATCGGTTGAACTATATTTTATGTAAACGACAAGTTGACGAGTCCAACGACATAAAAGTCTTTGCATGTTAGAGAACTAAACATCAATTACCAAATAATCAAATGGAGGGGCACTAAAACATCCAATAATAAAATAAAATTTTCATATTATTGTTTATGTGTGACATAGAGTTGGTATGGCCGTTAGGGTTTACAGGTAGCATACCTGCTTTAATACCATCAATAAAGTTGAAGCCATTCCTCAAACCAACTGACAATAGAGAGCAAATATCAACTTCTTAGCGCATGCAAGATTCTTTAATTTTTCGACAACGGGACAAGTTATTGGGTGTACTTTGTCACATCCCGGCCTGGGCACCCACCACATTCCGGGCTGGACTCCGTCGTAACACGATATTATCCGCTTTGAGCCCCGACCACGCTCTCACGGTTTTGTTTTTGGGAACTCACACAAGAACTTCCTAGTGGGTCACCCATCATGGGATTACTTTCGCGCAAACTCGCTTAACTTCAGAGTTTCGATGGAACCTGAAACCAGTGAGCTCTCAAAAGGCCTCAGGCTAGGTAAAGATGAAAATATATATAAGGCTTACAGGATCCACTCCTCTAGGCGATGTGGGATGTTACAATCCACCCCCTTAAGAGCCCGACGTCCTCGTCAGCACACTTTCGACCAGGGATTGACTATGATACCAAATTGTCACATCCCGGCCTGGGCCCCCACCACATCCGGAGCTCGACTCTGCCGTAGCACGATATTGTTCGCTTTGGGCCCCGACCACGCCCTCACGGTTTTGTTTCTAAGAACTCACACGAGAACTTCCCAGTGGGTCACCCATCATGGGATTGCTCTCGCCCGCGAACTTGCTTAACTTCGGATTGCTCTCGCGCGAACTTGCTTAACTTCGGAGTTCCGATGGAACCCGAAACCAGTGAGCTTCCAAAATGCCTTGTACTAGGTAGAGATGAGAATATATATATATATATATATATATATATATAAAGCTTACATAATCCGCTCCACTAGACGATGTGGGATGTTACATAATTCTTCTTCAAACTTTTGAGTAATTATTCCTCTATCTTTATGCGTAAATGGAAGCAGCTTTTTTTGACTTCGATTCTTGAACATTATTTTCTACCCATTCTTCTTTTTGGCTTCTTTAATCATGCCTTACTTTTGACTCATCTTACCATTTATTTATTTTTATTTTTTTTAAAACCTCAACAGTACATGAAAGAATTTATTGATAAGAAGAAAACTTTAGTGATAACGAAAAATCTTACCACCGTCTGTCAATTGAGAACATGCACAAATCTATGAAGAAATGAAGCAACGACTATGGACTTGTGAGGAAGTCTGGATTTCTAATTGAGTTTGGTAACTCTTCTTCTCTAAAATCCTCCAAATTCACAAAAGTCTACAACTGGATGAAGTTTATATTCAACAAAAGTAGATAACTTTAGAATTTTTAAGTCAATATCAGGAGAATAACTTACATACACCTAGAGAGGTACACTACCATAACATTCTAATTTACATTTTAATAACGTGATACCATATAAAAACGCAACATGTAGGGAAGTCTCACTCTTCTTGAGTGGGACAGTGGACATCGAAAATTTTGGACTTGGATTGTTTGCCCTCCCCTATCCCATACCCTTCTCATCTCCTCATATTTTTGTGGTCACGGTTAAGCCACGTCAACGTTTTATATTCTCATTGTTGTTTGTCTTATTATTTCTATACAAAAATCAATATAAAATATTGACATGGCTTAACCGTGACCACAAAAATAAAAGAGGATGGAAATGGTATGAGATGGGGAGGGTTGACAATCTAGGTCCGAAAATTTTATGGAGTCAAAAGTCTTGATTGAATATATTTCTAGAACTACACATAAATCGAATCAAATTTTTTTCTAATTCCACCGAACTCCAATTGAAATCAACGTAGCCATTCAAAATTCAAAAGTTCCTCTCTTTCACTGATAATGTGATCACCACGGCACATTATACACGCATTGCACGATAAAAGAAAATCATGTTCTTTCATCACTTCATTGCCATGAATTTGGCAAAGAAGGTTCCAAGAAGGTTAAAAAAAAAATTGTATCAAAACCCTAAACATTAGATAGACATTTTAACAAACTTTAAATTAATTATTATTTTTTTCACTAAACATGCAATACAAAACACGTTTTAGTGCTCTTTTATTGTAAGTTCGGTTTCCTTATTGGGAAAAGAGTTCTGTTTTTAAATTGAAGTTTTGTGAAAAATTTTGTATGTGCATATTTTCCTTGTCGATTAATTGTCTTTTCAGCTCTATTCTTGACTAAAAGTTTGTAACCAGTTCCATTAAAGACAATACCATTTTTAGAAAACTTATTACTTGTATTTTAGTCTAATGAAGTGTAAGAGAACCAATAATTCAAGAGTTGAATTCATGCTGTAGTGAATAAACTTGGTTTTCCAAATGCCTTGCATGTTATATAAATGTGTAACAGTGTAAGTATGTGTTTGTTGAATTAGTGGTCAAGTGACCAACTTTTGGCTATATAAAATAAACAAAAGGAGGTAGACAACATCATTATGTTGTTGAAAAAGAAAAAAAGGTTATGATGATGTTTGTAGAAAAAAGGTAAAGGCTAGCAAGTAGCCTTATTATTGGTTTTGTTTATTAGGTGTTTGAGGATGGATGAAGGTGAGCATACGGAAGTGAGAAAGAGAGAGGAAGTGTGCACCATTTTTCTGTTTTTAGTAGCCCATCTTTGAGAGAGCAAAGAGAGCTGCAGAGAGCAGAAAGAGAAGAAAGAAAGGTGATTTTCTTTCTTTGTTGGTACTCACTCAATCAAAGTTGTATTTGTGTATTAGCTTTGAGCTTTGTATAGAGAGCAAATTATTCACTATATTTCCCTCTCTATTTGTTTCTTTGGTGAGTGAGAGTTATTGGGTGTATTGGGGTTTTGGGTTGTGAGATTGCCAACACTTTGTAAACTTCCATTTGGTTGATAGTGGATTATTGGGTGAGCTCCTACTGCTCCAAGGACGTACTCCAATTACACTGACTGTTGAGTAACCTCGTTAAAATCTTGGTGTCTTTTATATTTTGTTCTTGCATTTTCATTTGATAAATTTCATGTGGGTTAGCTTGAGTTGGTTCCAACGGGTTTGGTGCTATCCTAGCACAACAATTGGTATCAGAGCACTGGTTGCTCTTGGGTACTGTTTAGTTGCCAAAGATGTCAGACGGGCAAGATGAGAATCATTTTGGAAGCAGCTCCGGGTTTGCAAGAACTACGGTGCAAAATGCAAAGTTTGAAGTTGAAAAGTTTGATGGCACAAACAACTTCGGGATGTGGCAATGTGAGGTCAAAGATGTGTTGGCTCAACAAGATCTACTTGCCGCTTTGGGAGAGAAGCCGGAAGCTATGTCGAAGCCGGAATGGGAGAAATTAAATTTGTGGACTTGCTCTTCAATTAGGTTGTGCCTTGCAAAAACTCAGAAGTATTTTGTGATGCGGGAGACATTGGCAAATGTGTTGTGGCAAAAATTGGAAGACAAGTATATGACGAAGAGTGCAGAGAACCAACTACACTTGAAGAAAAAACTCTACCACTTCCAATACAAAGAAGGTACAAAAATGATTAGACACATTGATGCTTTTAATAAGTTGATTGCTGACTTGTTAAATTTAGATGAGGATATTAAAGATGAAGATAAGGCCTTAATATTGTTGAATTCCTTGCCGGACTCTTATGAGCATTTTGTTACCACTATTATGCATGGTAAAGAAACTGTGAAATTTGAAGATGTGTCAAATGCCTTGATGAATTATGAAATGAGGCACAGAGATAAAAATTATGATAGTACCTCTGAAGCTTTATTTGTTAGAGGTAGATCATCGGAGATAATATCATCTTCTAGTAGAAAAAAATCACAGTCTCGACCTAGAGGAAACTCTAAAGGTAGAAAACCTTTGGAAATGGATGAATGTGCCTTTTGTCGTAATAAGGGCCATTGGAAGAAAGATTGTTCTAGATTGAAAACCAAAGGCAAAGAAAGTTCTGAAGCTAATGTTGCTGAGGTTGAAACAGATTTTTCTGATTTTGCTTTAACCACTTCCTCATCATTTGATTGTGCTACTAAATGGGTGTTGGATACGAGTTGTACTCATCATATGACTCCTCACAATGATTGGTTTTCAAGCTTGAAAGAGTTTGATGGTGGTGTTGTGTTCATGGGAGATGACAATCCTTGCACAACAAAAGGGATTGGTACAGTTCGTTTGAAGTTGCATGATGGCATGGTTAAAGAGTTGACAGGTGTTCGGTATGTACCGAATTTGAAGAAAAATCTTATTTCTTTAGGTACTTTGGAATCCAAGGGCTTCAGGTTTCATTCAGATGGACAGACATTGAAAGTTACTTATGGTGCACTTGTTGTGATGAAAGCTCCTCGATGTGGTCATTTGTATTTATTGCAGGGAAGCACTGTGACAGGTGAAGCATCTGTAGTCTCTGAAAATATAGGCACATCTGATTCAGATATTACTAGACTGTGGCATATGAGATTAGGCCATGCCGATGAGAAAGCTCTACAAGGGCTTGTGAAAAAAGGTCTTCTAAAAGGTGCCACGACTTGTAAGCTTGATTTCTGCGAGCATTGTGTCTTGGGGAAGCAAACTAGAGTGAAGTTTGGTACTACTGTACATCAGACGAAAGGCATTCTTGATTATGTGCATTCGGATGTTTGGGTCCTACAAAGACTCCCTCTTTGAGTGGTAGACATTGGTTCGTGACCTTTGTTGATGATTATTCAAGAAGGTCTTGGGTCTACACTACAACTTTCCTTTTTGTTTCACCCGATTTCGTTGAGTATTGAAGAAGTTATACTCATTTGAATCTTACACAGTTTCCTGCGAGTCCGACGGCTTTCGAGGCATTTTCCCGCCAAAACACGGCGAGTTAGACGTCGTGTGAGGTACCATTCTCTTCGTCTCTTCAAGGGCTACAACGTTCGTTCTTGTTTCACTTGATTTTGTTAAGTATTGACAAAGTTATGACCGTTTAAAGTGGGTGTGGATTTTCAGCCGAAATTCCGATTTTCTCTCCCATTGGGTCCGGCGACCCACCAAACCCAAAGGCCTCGGGCCTTATTTTGAAGGGCCTTGGGCCGGTATCCTTTAAAGGGCTTAAAGCCATGTCCTTTAATAAGGCCTTAGGGCCTTTGTGAAATGTTGTGAGGGCTGCCCTAGTGCAGCCCGTGTGTGTCTGTGTGTTTTAGGGTTTGTGTTGTGTGTGAGTGTGTGTGTGTTGTGTGTGAGTTTGGGCTTAAGCCCAAACCACCCCTTTTCACCCTAAACCCTTTTAACCCAAAACCTTTAGGACCTAAAACCTTAGAATTCCAAAACTCAATAGATCCTAATCCTATTTAACCTAAACCCTAATCCGGATTTCAAGCCTAAAACCTATTAGACCTAATTTGACCGTTGACCTCCGGTCAACGTTGACTTTAGGGTTGACTTTTCGGGTTTTCGTCCGGGATTCTTCTTAGGGTAATTCGACATTCTGAATCCGTTTCCAACGTCCGTTTTCCCAAATTCAATTGCTATTATATAGTTTTATTTATTGGACTCTTTATGTGCTTAGGGGCAATTATTGTGACGTTTCCGTCTTCGCTAGTGGCACAACTTTTGGCAACTAAGTACTGTGAGTGGACCCCTTCTAAAATTACATGATTTTATAGTTTAATCGCATAAATGATTAGCATGCCTACAAATTTATGAAGTGATATATGTGAAGCATGTTGATTTAATATATTAATTTTCGTCTCGTGTTTTTGTGAGGAATAAATTGTTAGCCTATATTGAGCTATATTTTGATATATCTTATTTCTATAAAAATCATGAACTGGTAGACTATCCGATGGATGACGATAGGATGCTAGAACATGTTTTTGAAACCCCTCTTTATAGTATAGACGATGGATGACTTTATACTATGAAGTGGTTATTTATAAGACACTATGCCGCCTGGGGCGAGGATCTGGTGTTGCCAATTAGGCCGGGAGAAATAATCCCTAGCGAAAGGCTGAGGGACACAGTGACATGCACTGGGCCGGGAGGGAGTTATCTCTGGCTACGGGCACAGAGACTTAGCTGCAGGCATTGGGCTGGAAATTATATTTATTCGGTGATCTTTCTAGCAACACACCGCGTTTACGAGACGATTTATGATGCGTTTACTGTTTTGATTTCCGCGATGAGTTTCCGCGATATGGCTTTTGAGATATTTTGGCATGCTAGGATTTTTATTAAATCCATCATTTATTATGCTAGTAGTTTTCATTATATAAACTGTGGGGGATAATACCTTGATAACTGTTTTATTATTATTATATATATAAACTTGGTCCACTCACCTTTGTTTTGCGCCCCCATTCAGGACTTAGAATCAAGGCACCTAATCCCGGCGTGAAGGCACTTCCGCAGCAGCATCTTCGGATCCTCTCAATGTAGGACCCACTTCTTTATTCATTCAATTTTATCTCAATTCTTTTTAGTGATTAGGTTTAGTTGTATGTTCTGAACACGTTCCAAAACTTTTAACTCTTAGTATTTTAAATTCATAACCCTTATTTACTTCTTATTCTTAGCTTTTGTATCAATTAATGGTTTTCGTCACCCTCGGGTGTCGGCCAGCACGTGTCTATCCTGGTATTCGGAGAATATCAGGTCGGGGCGGATTGTGACATCCCACATTGCCCAGGGGAGTGATCCTTAAATGCATATTCTCATCCCTACCTAGCACGAGGCCTTTTGGGAGCTCACTGGCTTCGGGTTCCGTAGGAACTCCGAAGTTAAGCGAGAAGGAGGCCAGAGCACTCCCAGGATGGATGACCCACTGGGAAGTTGCTCGTGAGTTCCCAAAAACAAAACCGTGAGAGAATGGTAAGCCCAAAACGGACAATATCGTGCTACGGTGGTGGAGCGGGCCCAGGAAGTGATCCGACTCGGGCCGGGATGTGACAAATTTGTTGACGTATAGGGAGCATATAGTCTGCTGCCTTGATTTATAGTCTGTGGGGGTAGGATTGTATCGGTTGGATGACCAAAACTCTCCCACAAACCGTTTGAATGTGCTTTGGCCAGCACAAAATTTCCAGTGTCTAGCATGGCTGCGTTGGCAACAATCCCAGTACCTACTGAAGCAACGAATGTGTCATTGCCTATCGCGATATCATTGAGCAGCAAGTGGCCATCAGCAGTGAGTTCAACTTTGGATCCTTGGGCCACAAGACTATTTCCATTGGCTGACCACACTACGGTTTTATCTGGTATCTTATTGAACCAGATGGCTAGTAAGAAACCGTCGTTTCCAATCTGTCGAAAACCAAAAGCAAATTCACCAGATGGTGATTGCCAGGATGCTGAGTTATCATTTTGTGCAGTGAGTGATGAGCCTAAAGACATGTTTCTATAAGTTTGAGCCATGGCGGAAAATGGGAAAAACACGAAAAGGATGAAGCAGGGAGGATATAGCACATCAAAAGACATTGTAATTCAGGTGAGGATAATTTGCTCCAAACTGATCACACTGGTAAAATCTTCAACAGGCAGGCTAAAATCATCAACTATTTATGCACGGACGAGTTGACGAATACAACGACTTCAATTTTGTTTCCCACGTAACAGTGTAAGATGGTGCTCGTCAACAATCAAATAAAATTTTCATGTCAGATTTTCACCTTCGAGCCTCCTTTTTTCGGCAATTCGGTGCGAGTGAGAAAGTCTTACGTGTGAACAGATTTTCTTTTTGCATATTTGATCAAAGGCATGAATCACATTTTGCTACTATTAGTTTTCATCTCAAACGTGAAATACCATGATAAGTGAGAAAGCTTGGAATTTTCTTGAGAAAGACCGGACGAACCTTTATTCCTTGTTTTTGTAGCTTTTCTGAAAGAAGTGATATGTAATTGAGTTTGGTAAATAAACCTTCTACAGTTTACACTCTAAATCCTGCATGGTCCACAAAATTCCACAATTCAACTAAGTTTATAAAAGCTGACATGTAGTCAAGTTGGCTATAACAGTGTGATTTTAATCCTTCATCTAAGTTTGAATCTCTCATATCCCATACTTGAGCTTGAATCCCTCATTCTCGTAATTTAGATTAGATAAAGCATCGCTCGGGAATAAGAAGTGCATAACTTTATGGAGTCACACGTGTAGATCAAATGCACCTGGAATTAAAAACGAACTCAAATTCTTTTCGGTTCCACAAAACTTAAACTCGGTGTTGATATCAAGTTTACGAAGTCATTAGTATGAGAAAACGTATACCTTAGGGCACGTTCAGTAACCATTTTGTTAGTTTTTAATTTTAAATTTTTTTAGAGATAGAAGGTAGATATAGAGTGAAGAAATGACGACTAATGAGACGTAGGATAATGTATAAGAAAAAGCGCACACAATAAAAATTAGAAACCAACAACTAGCAACGAATTTAAATTATTAATTTCTTCTTTGTTTATTCCCCAACCCTCTCACTATCCTTCTGTGTGTATAATTTTCACATATTACTTATCACATCTTTCAAATGAAAATTTTTTCAGTGTGTCAGGAACATGATTCGTTGACATACCTAATTAGAAATTTTTCTTTAAATGTCTAATCAATTCCATTACGATAGTTGGTGGGAAGATCCTCTCCTGAGCTCAGGATGGAGATTCTCATGAGCAACCCATCTAGGCCGTTCAAACTTAATCTAACGGCTTTAATTATTATAACTTTTAGAGATACCCCATGCTTGAAGCCGTTTGATCAAATTTAAACAGCCCGGATGGATTGCTCAGGAAGATCCCATCCTGAGCTCAGGAGAGGATCGAGTTCCTAGTTGGTGTCCTTATTCGTATTTTTGGCATACTAAAAAATCTTTATTTAAAAAAAAAAAAAAACTACAAATTAAAAACGAAATGATTATCGAAAATTGTATCATTTACCCAACTCTCGTATGCATTGGCTACAAAGACAGACACCAAGAAAGAACGAAATTTTAAAAAACAAGACCGAAAATTGCGAAAAGAAAATCTCAACCCACCATGGAAGTAAAGGAACTTGCTTTCCCAGAAGTTGTATCTTTTAGCTGAAAATAAGATTATGAAAATACCATCTTTTTCGACATTCAAGTTGTCTCCAGACGACTTGGCTTTGCTTTTACAGAAATGCATGAAAGCAAGGGCTCTGAGACAAGGCAAGCAAATTCATGCAGTGCTGTTAACAAGTGGGGTGGACATGAATTTGTTATCTTTGAGTTCAAAGCTTGTGGGGATGTATGCTGGTTGTGGGGATGTTGGGAATGCACACCAAGTGTTTGATAAAATTCCCAAGCCAAACGTCTTCGCGTTGAACTGGCTGGTTTTGGCGTCAGCGTTTAATGGGAAGTTTGAGGATGCAATTGGGTACTTTTATTTGATGCAAGAGTTGGGAATTGTTGGCAACAAGTTCACGTTTCCTGTCGTGCTTAAGGTTTGTGTTGGTTTGATGGATTTGAACAAGGGAAAGGAAGTTCATGCTGTGGTGAATAAACTTGGTTTTGAAAAGGATGTGTCTTTGGCAAATGCCTTGATTGACATGTATTATAAATGTGGAAGTTTGTGTTATGCTCGTCGCGTGTTTGATAGGATGCTCGACAGAGACGTTGTTTCTTGGACGTCGATGATATGCGGGTATTTTAACATAGGAAAGACTGATCAAGCGCTCCTCTTGTTTGAGAGGATGAGGTTGGATGGATTGGAACCGAATGATTTCACATGGAATGCAATGATAGCGGGGTTTGCTCGGTGTGGAGATACAAATCGAGCATATGCGCTTCTGTCTAGGATGACTAAAGAGGGATTGGTTCCTGATTTTGTTACTTGGAATGCGTTGATTTCAGGTTTTACCCAAGGCCAGCATGCTGATGAAGCATTTAAACTGTTCAGGATGATGTTGGTGTCTGGAATTAAAGCGAACCTCGTGACTATCACAGGGTTGCTACCAGCTTGTGGGATCATTGGTTCAATTCAAAGAGGGAGAGAAATTCATGGATTGATCTACAGGATGGGCTTTGACGTAAATGTGTTTGTTGCTAGTGCTCTTATTGATATGTACTCAAAATGTGGCAGTGTGAAAAATGCTCGAAGTGTATTTGACCAGAATCCTGTAAATAACATTGCATCATGGAATGCATTGATTGGATGTTATGGTAAGTACGGTATGGTTGATTCCTCCATAGAGCTTTTTGAAAGAATGCAAGCAGAAGGAGTGCAGGCAAATGAAGTGACTTTGACATCCGTACTTTCTGCGTGCAGCCACAGTGGTTATGTGGAGAAAGGTTTAAAGATTTTCAAGTCCATGAAAATGTGTCATGGAGTTGAGCCAGGTACAGAACATTATGCTTGTGTTGTTGATCTCTTGTGTCGGTCAGGAAAGATGGTAGCAGCTTACGAATTGGTTAAGGGAATGCCTATAGAAGTCACTGAATCTATCATTGGAGCCTTTTTCAACGGTTGCAAAGTCCATGGAAGAAGAGATCTTGCTAAAATGATGGCAGAAGCTATTCTAAAAATGGAGTTAAAGAGACCTGGAGGTTTTGTAACGCTTTCGAATATCCATGCTGCTAACGGAGAATGGGAAGAGGTTGAGAACGTAAGGATGGTGATGAAGCAGAGGAAGATTCTTAAGCAACCTGGATTTAGTTGGCTCGGTAAAAAGATGGCTTTGTCAGACTTGCAGTAGAAAAGAAGTCAAGAGAGTATGTATCCAAGGTGTGCCTCTAATAAGATAGTATCAGTTCAGAAGATCGTCACATAATCCCTTTTGTTTTCACAAAAGACATCTCTTGTACAACTGAATTGATTTTCCAAAATTTTGTATCGACGCCATTGATCCATTCAGTTTTCAAAGGCATGAAGTTTATGAATTTGACCACATTGGTAACAAACTCCAAAAATACTCTTCTTTTTCATTGCTTGATACCCTTCTTTTCCAAGCTACTCATCTTCCCAGATGATTTGTGTATGCAGACACAAGATCAAAACGGAGAAGCGGATGGTGAATCTAAACATGAACTGTTGAACTTGGCGGCTGAACAAGTACAGTTACTACTCAACCTCGAGTTGCAGGTTTACATTTCAGATTCTGGCTTACATTCTTTTGTTCATTCCTTAATTCCTGAAAACAGTTCTCTGAAAACAAAGTATACAATTATAACCCTTGAAGCCACTAACGTTTAAAAACAAGTTTGACACCATATAACTAATCCATCTGTTTGATTTAAGTATTACTGAAGACTGATTACATAATCCAAATAAACACTCTCAACACACGGCATGAGTAATTAGTAGAACTTGTCATAAGCAGATGAATTGTTAATTTTGCTATGTCGAAGAATGTCCTTCGATATATCTCCGTACTTCATACTCATGAAACTAAAACTGCAGCTATAGCAGTGTTGCTTTTCAGACATGTGGCGTTGAAGTCAATGCATGTTTTGCTGCCTGGCTTGGGGGATCACGCTTTTTGAAGTGTCTAGGACTTGGAAGAGAACATGTGAAAAATTTGGATGGAAAAAGTGCAGTTAGGAATGACTTTGTTTAATAGGGACAAAAGGTTGCTTATGAATTCTCTAAACCTCCATAATTAATGAAAATATTTTGAAGAAAGCTCAAAAGGGTCCCAAAAAAGGTCCTAAAATCACCCACTCTTCCAATAATTGCATGCCTTAAAAAGGTCCTAAAGAGGCTTGGAATATAAGAAACCATGCCTTGCATGGTGTGGTGGTTGTCCAATGGAGGGGTGTGGGGGGTCTCTCTTGAACCACTTTATCTACTCACGCGTTGATTTTGTTTTGTTTCAAGACCCAAATGCACAAAAGTTCCAAGTAATTTGTGAAAAATATGCACGAGTAGAATCGGTTATAAATTTTCAATAAAAAATTATAATTGAAGGGACACTTTGGCCTGTTTTTATTGTTTTCAAAACGGCTTGACAATCAAACGCGCTTTTGGTTATGTTTGGAAGAAAAATTTGAAAGCATGTATGGGTTGCAAAAGTGCTTTATGAGGAACACCTATTGTGTGCTTCAGGAAGACATGTTTATAATAAAAACCCTTCTAGTATAAGCGCTTATGAGAAGAAGTGTTTCTTGCTGTAGCGATTCCAAACAAGGCACTCATATCGTGTTATATATACGGCTTATTGCCTGTTTGACGTCCCCACAATTATATTCCAATACTATTTGTGCAAATTTTGCCTTAAATGTTTCGAGTGTTAAGGAAAACCTCTACGAACTAATCTCTCATTTGTTTTATTAAGATAAACTCTGAAAACGTGCAATCACTTACAAATCGGGGTCGGAATCTTTTCACCTTGTTGAGAATGAAGGACCCCAATTTCATTGAAGGTGGGAGTTGTATAGTCTTTCTTTCCATGTTGTGCAGAAAACAATGGGTTAGCAAGAAAGTCAATAGACAGATATGAACTTAAAGATCTCAAACCATGTTTGGAAATTACTAAAGAGAAAACATGAGGATTGTTTTCATGTGTTGTCTAGTTCTTATCCTTACTTTAGACAAAATTGTACAAAGGATTGGCATTAGATGCATGCAGCTGGCAGTCATCCATTAATATATCAAATCAATTTGGTTCTTTTCTTGGTTGGCTTTTTGCAAAAGTTGAAGAGTTTAAAAATAAAACCTACCATTAAGTCAAAGAAAAAAAATATAGGGGATTCATATATAGATCGATTGTACGAATATAAGAACATCATTGCATTTAGTTTTGTATTAAGTTTTTCATTAGCTCTAAGTCTTCTTCTACCCCTTTTGCTCTGAGCCTCTGTCTCATAATTGTATTTTAGACATTTGTAGGTCTTTGTTTCATATGTCCAAACCATTTTAACCGATTTTCTCTCGTCATATATTCATATAGAGATAAAACTACATAAATTGGTTGTTTTTCAATGTGAAATATGAATATTCTATGAACTTTTGCAAGATGTTATAGCTTTGATCCAGTTATGTCGGCCACTTATAAGAGTCGCCATCTTAGTTCATAGTAGTTTCACAAAAGAAGGTACCATGCCCTTAAATTGTAAAGGAGTGCCCTTCAAAATGGTCTCTATCTAGGGAGCCATTGTTATCCTTTTCCAAAGGGCATCTCCCCGGATAAATTATTGTGTTTAGAAGAATCGTGAGTGGATCGCGTCTTTTGTTCGACTATGTCAAGAAGAGAAAAGTTGAAACTAATGTAAAGATGGTGAGACCCTAGTGTTTCTCTCAAAAATGACCTTAATGTAGAAGAAGTGGCTATTGCATACAAAGTTGAAGGCATGGAATTAGGGATATGGCTTGGCAAATTTAGCTGAGTAGATAAGGTTTGTTGCAAGATCACCTCTCTTCCTAACCAAAAAGGTCTCATGAAAACGTACACATTACTACAAAATAGAACAAAGTAAAGCAAAATTTGACCTCAATAAAGCTTACCAACAATGATATTAACCAGAATATTCATCTTCAAATCCAATTTCTACAATTTTGTTTTTTTCTTCCTGATCTTACTAAATCACATCAGGAATCAATCACAATAATACGGTATAGAACTTGTTATTCACGAAAGTTAAACGTAAGATTTATTCTTAAAAAAATACCACGTAACTGTAGTACTAAGGGCTATTCATAATATTCTTAAACCATTTAAATACAATATCAACTTCTCATTTCTCGATTCAATGCCTTTTAATGAACTCTTCTATTCGATTTATCTAGCCCTTTATGCAAACAAATAAATACCATTCAATGTCTTTTAAAATTCGTACGCTACCACTTTCTATCCAGCAACTATCTGAGAGGCAAACCTATATAATAATTGCCACTTACTAGTTTAGGAAAATATAATAAGGAAAGTGGTATTATAATTTTCCCTCTTGCTTGGTGAGGTATTTGGGAGCTACCTGAAATAACTATTGCTTTATTTTTTTAAAGGGTGACTTGATCGGCACCCAACTTTAAGTTAAGTGCATCCAAATTTATGAAACTTGAATTTCTTATTTTACCCTTAAACATAAGAGTAATGTTAGAGAGACTATCTATTTAAATTGTATTTTATAAATCATATAACGTGATCGTTGATCGTTGGATTGTAACTTAAGTGTTGATTAACATACTTATTTCATAATAGTGACATATCACATAGTTTATAAATTTGAACTAAAAATTTGGTCTTCCTAACATTACCCTTCCGGTTATTCCTATTCCCACTCAACTTCTCTTTCCGAACACTCTTGGGGGTAAGAGAAGGACGATGCTATTCACACACCAATTTTTACTTTTCACACACTCCTTCCAATTTTCGATCATCAGATTGAATGAATTGAAGAAGATCAATGACAAAAAATTAATAAAGGTGTGTAGGAAAAAAAATGGATATATGGAAAAAAACACAAGCAAAAGAGTCCCTCAATCACTCTTCAAAATGAGTAAACTGCCGATATGCCTCTTGAACTATCACTTAACTTTCGATTTCCCCCTGAACTTTTTAATTGGAAAATTAAGAACTTAAACTAATTTTTTTGGCCGATTTACCCCCTCATGTTAATTTTTCATTCATTCCATCCAAATTTCTATTAAATAGAAGCATGTGCATAACAAGTGTAGGTAGTCCGGTCGCTTCATTCTTTAAAATAATTGAAAACCTTATATTTCTAAAATATAAACCTATGCAAATATGTGTGATTCTATAGCCCTTATGTCTAAATGTCTAGTGAAGTGATGCTTTTGTCCACAAATGAGAGTTACGTGGTATGCACATGATAAAATGTTAATTTGGATGAAATCTTGAAAAACTAACAATAGGGGGAAATCGGCCAAAAAAATTAGTTTAAGTCCTTAATTTTTCAATTAAAAAGTTCGGAGGGGAAATTGAAAGTTGAGTGATAGTTCAGAGAGTAAATTGACAGTTTAGCCCTTCAAAATTGATGTAGCTTTTAGAGTTTTAAAAGTTTTTAAAAAATAGTTGGGTTAGCCCACGCATCCACCTCTTTAGGATAGATAACATTGTTGGTCAAAAAAAAAAAAAGTTGGGTGAACTTATTAATATCTTAGGTTCTCAATAAGGGTATTTGTGGAATAAAATTAGTTAACCAATAGAATTTAAAAGTTTTAAAACAATGATTGGGTGAACTTAAAATTGGGCGCCTAATTCCTGCTTATTCATTGTATCTGGGTAATTTTTCAAATCATACTAGCTGTCACAAGTTCAATCAATAGCTCCAGGGCATATGAAGTGGTTTACTTTAATGAATCATGTACTTTTGTGACTTAAAATTGAAAACTTCTCAATCCTAAATGAAAAAAAATTCCTTTATTTAATGTAGATAAGGGCAAAACATATACATTTAGAGAAATGTTAAGAGAACTTTTTTAAAATAGAACTCTACAAAACGTCAATTTTTGTGCCATCTTACAGTTTAATGTTAATTTTCGTGTCAACATTATAAATATTGTGCAAAAAATATAAGATGACAGAGAGTCTATAGAAAACCTCACTATTGAAAGACTCTCCTACATTTATATGAAAGATTCCAAAATCGCCAAATGTGTAGTCGAAGATGCATAGAGGGTTGAACTAGGTGCATTTTTCCGAAGAAATGTTAAATAGTTGGAACTTGGAATTGTAAAGGTTTTAATTCACAGACCAAATAAGTAAATGACTCATTAAAATAAGTGAGGACACTGCCTAAAACTCTCTTTGTTTTTTGTGGGCAGAAACATTCCCTAAAACTCTCTGGTTACATGCATCGTATCCATATCTAAGACCCTTTTCAAAGAAAAACAAAAAATTTAATCACACAAATTATTTATCGTCATCTAAAAAAGCTTATTACTTTTCATATTTTATCCTCTTTGCTAAGAACATGAAAACTTGGGTCAAATTCCTTGACCAGTCAGGCATGATAATAAGATAATTTTCACATCATTAGTTATTTGTTATGTAAGTTTTTTTAGGAGAAACGATAGCTTTCATAGATGATTTGAAGAATTTGTACAAAATAAAAGAGCAACAACTTAATTACAACAATTTTCAAATAACAAGTCAAAAAAAGGAGGAATCTCAAACCAACAACAAAATCAATTAGTATGAAGGACATACCGACCTAAGCGACACGATATGACATGTAAACTTTCATTGATAAACATGTCGACACGGCATTGATTCGTATGTAATTGAAATTTCAAAAGCATCAATATAAAAAACATATCAATAATAAATAACATTATGATATATTTGTCGATATTAAATTATCAGACTATCAATCGTTCTAAGTGGTCAGTGTTAACTGTTAAGCACACAGGCTGGTACAATACCATAACCAGGAAACAAAGACTTTTAATTTCTGAAAATCACAGTGTGATGTTAAGCGTATGACTTTTGAACTTTAGTTTAAAACAAAGAAAACTCATATGGTAAAGAAAAGTATAGTTCAAATTACCCAAAATGCCCTTTCACATACATACAGTCTCACACATCACAGTCTACAGAGTCGCAGACTACAGAGCCAATCAACAAATATCTCTTCTTCTCACCCTTCCTTCTCAGCTCTCTCTCTCTCTCTCTCTTCCCGTTTAAGTCGAACCAGTTTCTTGGGTTCGCAGCACTTTGGCCTGCCTCACATGCCAATCCCCAGTCTCTTCAAATCTCTAAACTTTTTTATCTGGGTGTCCAATATTTCACCCTCAGATCATACTTTTACCCATTAAAATCTCCATATTTCTTCACTTCGAATCACTGACTGAGGAAAACCCATCTCGGTTTTGGTCCTTTTTGACCCTCCTATGAGTACTTCAATAGATTCTGAGTGTTGGGTTTTCTCACAACAGGTCAGTTTCTTCTCTCTCTCTATCTTTTATTTTTATTTTTATTTTTAGCATTTTGTGATTGGAATTTGGAATATGCGTTAAACTGTGTATTTTGTTGCTTTCTGTTTAAAAAATTTGTGGGACTTGGATGTTGAAGCTGATTGAAAGAAATGGTTTAATATGATGGCACAAATGAAGCAAGAAATGGTTTTGATGGTCAGTTGAGTTCTGTCTATTTCATTGTGTATGCGATTCATGCTGTCTTATGGATCTTGCTTGGATTGTTTCTGTGTGCTTTTGGGTGTGATTTTCCAGATAGTAAAATTTGTTACTTTGATTTTGCATGTTTCGAAAGTTCGAGTCTTTGTGGAGATGTGGCTTTTCATCCGTTTTTTGGTTCTGTTGTGATTAATTTTGATGTGTTTTCACTATTGGGAGCAAACCTGTATGAATTTCGACTTTGTTGGCCGAAAAGTCTGAATCTTTGTAGCAGTAGTTCATCGTTTGAATCGGTGTCCAGGCATGTAAGATCCCAT